TAAGATATAACCCACAGGCACTACTGATATTCTGTGTCCTCGTATTCACTAATAATTGACCCTTGGGTTTTGATTAAAATGGAGAGACCTATGCTTTGGCAATGGCTACGCAAATTAACCTAACCTTTCCCCTGTATCTTACCTTAAAACTCACTAAAATAAATTAATCTAGCAAATTTTGCCATTTCGACCATGCGTTTAAAAATTTAAATTCCATTTTTTCAGAAATGAGATGTTAAATTACACAACAAATTTAGTGGGTGCAAAATAAGTAGTGTAGTTAGATAAATACGTGAATCCTGTGATGTAAAACTAAATAACTGCAGAAGGCTAATTAAACTAGGCATGTTTCTTCCGATATAATCATCATGACAACTTGTCATTTACTTCTTTTCAAAGAGGCGCTAGTTTTCAAAATCCACTACTTATGCAATGATGGCCCAAGAGACCAAGAAAATAAGCCTTAGCCACCTCCTCCGCTGTAAAACATGTACGTGTACTAGTCTAATGAGGAGAATTGGTGATCATTAATATGGGTTACGCCGAAACGTGATTCGAAGGAGCAACTCATAAATAGATCATTTACTGAATTTATTAGTTTAGGCAGTACAGTGGCTACAGGCCACCAAGGTATTTAATAGCATGCTGGTAGCACTCCTCGTAGAATACTCATAAAACTATTGTGCTTTTGTGACCCTAGACAATGGTTCCAGCATTCTACTGGAGTCAAATAGGTAAAATTTGTTCAAATTACCAACCAACGCGTGGTATCTATGAAACATAGACCTGGCATGTAGAATTACGCACTCGTGTTCCGCGTAGCGCTTCACAATAACCTCTCGGTACTTCTGGAAACGTGTAAATTGTGTGCCATTGATTGTGTGCGTTATACCATCACAGATACGTGCCAGTCAACTGATGTGCTGCTCTGTACTTTGTTCTCTGCTGCTTTCCTCCTCCTCCTCCTCCTCCTCCTCCTCCTCCTCCTCCTTCCCACTCACATGTCATGTCGTATCGTGTCACGAAGAATTGAGTAAATCAGACGAATTGGAATCCAATGGGACGTGATCTGCTTTGCCAGTAAATACTTCATTGGTAAGTCAAAGATGCTTCTCATCAAAGTTGTTGTGTAGCATTTAGAGAAGATGCGGCAGCAGCTTGTGCCACCACCACGATACGATTCCGTACAATTAGTTTGAATCTGTTGCTGAGTCAATCGAATGAGCGGCATGTGTGGAAAGACCTCCTAGTCCTCATTGTAGTGAGGATTTGCTCAACACTGCTGCCTGTAAGCACTTTGTGGCGATGGTTGGCGTGGGTGATGACGGGCGCGCAGCTACACCTACAGCAATTGGAATCACCAATTTTGACTTCACTCCTCCACTCCTTCAATGACCTTGTAAGATGTGTGGCGCACAATTTGGATTGATTGCTGAGTGATGGAATGTGTGACTGCCTCACTGACTGACGTGTGATGAGAAGTGGCCTTCCTGAGTGTGATCGCAGCATTTGTTAAGCGGGTGAGCATATTGTCTGTCGTGTGCAACTGGTGCATTCAGTACTCATAGGCCATTTCGTAGGCGCAAACACAGCACTGCCACTTCCAGGGTAATCTGTCCGCATTTAGCATGTGTGTTTGCTTGTACGTGTACCCGTGGTGGGTTAGAAGTGGAATGGTGAATGGGAAGTGGCTCATTTGCTAAAGCCGGACCAACAATCGCTACCGAAGCTTATCTTCTCAATACATAACTGGAAGGCTCGCAATAAGTTCCTATTTAGGAAACAACCACCTAAAAATGGGTATTGGCATTTTGGAGCCACATCTTATGATACTTTGGTGTTTACATTTCTCTATGGGATAATAACCTCTCCCTTGCATTTTCACCCGACGACAAAGTGATCCAGAAATGGAGGTGGGAAGGGTTAGGTGCTTTTTTGGCTTCTATATCTAATGGGTCTGGTAAAGGTGGAATTTACAGTAAAATTCCTTCTTTTTGAGACCCATATTTTATGAACCGGAATATCTGACACTTTTTGCCTTAAGTTTTTACTATAAATATTAAAAGAAATGATTAGTTTACTCCACATTCCTTCGTAAATGATATGTTAACCTTTAAGGGAAATTCCTCATTCAAGATGGAATTACTAATAGCGTCTACTGTGAGTGATTTCCCCCAGGTTTTTCATGTTAATAAATAAGTCAATCCTTGTTTTATTAAAAAAGTTTTGCTCAAATTGGATTTTCTTCGAGACACAAGGAAAAAACCAGGGTACAGAAATCATCCTCCATCCAACTAAATGTATTATTTGCTAACGAAATAAGGTTAAATTTGCATTCGCTACTCACTTCGGCCTATGAGTCAGCAAACTTAGTCATTTACTCTCGTTGGGAAAGATTAACGACATATTGCGGTAAATGCGCAGCTAACCTTTGTGCTTTGCATTTTTGACCTAATGTGGCATAGCAACGAGTCTCCAGTACCCAATGACGTTGCTACTCAGCCAATGGGAGTTTTGAGCATTGAATTATGCGGTGAGGTTTTAATCACCAAATAACTTACCGGATCTGCTTAACCAGTAAAACGGTTGAAAAGTGAATCTGTTACAACAGCAGTCATGTCTTAAGTCATTTTTGTTAGGAAAAAATTCCATTCAGTGGGGTAATTTGTTTTACTTGGTCATCTAAATCTCGGCATCTAAATCTCTAGGCTCTGCATAGGAGGGGGCAATAAACGAATCTGATCTAAATTAGCAAGAAGCTCGAAATTTCCATTTGGTACCAAACACAAGTATCACAGAGAAAACTTTTATCGGCGGATGACTGGGCATGGGGTTGTTCTTCACATAAGATAAAATAACCTTAAACTTGGGAAACTTCCCGCTTTAAACCCCAAAGGCCAGTGATTAAAAGAGGTTGGAATTGCAATGAGTTTTAATTAATTTTCAGAAAAGAATGACTAAACTATGGGATCTCTCTTTCTGTTCAAAGCGAGATACCTCGCCGACTTAATTTTGTTTTTAAACATCTGTCGCACCGAAGGTAGTTGGTGCTTAGGGCGACCTCACCACGGAGCATGAAATAAGAATAAAAGGGAAGAATTACGGTACTTGCTTAAAAGTTCAATTTCTTATGTCCTAGCGACTGATCTGTTTGTACTTGCATCTTATCCCTTTTCACTAACCGTCACCTTTCCATAGCCAAACCTGCCAGTAGATATTCCCAAGCTAGTTAGGTCGGTCCACATTGTGCTTGCAATTGGGTTAATTAATGTTATTCCATGACCCCAAATTACCGCCATTACTGGGTCTCCCCTTCAAGTAAATTTGCGTTGGTCTTAGAGGAGTGATCCAGATATTTTATTAATGGTGAGTACTGTGGTCGAAACATCGGAACGGGGCGAGAAATGCCCACATTCAAAATTCAAGAACAAAGGATTGCATTTTTTGATGATTAGTGTTCTTGTGATGGATTCCACTTAGGCTAAATGCTAAGGACTTATACCTGGTAAAAGGGAATCTGTGAAATAATTAAAAAAAGTTTTAATAGAAAGGTGTTATACTCATGAACTGGTCTCTCATTACTGCCTTCAGTTGTTAGCGATAATTCGATTCCCACTCACGGCAGGTCTTATTAAACTTTCCAGAAAATAGGATATAAGCTAAACGGACAGAATTTTTCATGACTCGAAAATATTCAGAAAAATAATAAAGCAACAGTCTAGTAAGCTTTTTTGTGCTAAAAAATCCCATGAGTCTTCATTTGGTGAAGCATAGATTGATAAAACCCTTCAGTCAATATTTCATTCATTTTTTCGTCTCTCCGTCCGTTCGTCCGTCCGTCCGTCCACTCATCCATCCATCCATTTATTTATTTGTCTCCAAATCTAATCCAACCTAAAACCCTTTCATGTGATATTACGAAATCATCCAACTCAAACACATCGTGATGTCTTTTATTAGGGCTGCTCGAGAGTTTGGTTGAAAGTGATGGTTCCCTCCTGGAGAGGTAATAAGCGATCGCCCACAATATTCTAGAAAAAATAAACTAGAGAGCTTAAACTCATAAGATGTTAAAATCTACTAAACCCATTCAAGGCAGTTTGTAGTTGAGACAGACGAATGTTTTAACAGCTGGTGAAATTCGTAGGACGGTAGAATTACTAACACCTAGGGTACACATAGAAAAAGGTGAAGTCCACATTTCTAAAAGCTAAATGTAGTAAAAATTGTATGCTTTTCCTAATAGCAAAGGTTACGTTAAAATGTTTGTGGCCATGGTACAGCCGTGAAGGTGTGTTCTACTGTTACACAGGGGAAGAGGTAGATCCACCTGCATCCAGCTCATGCAAATCCATACTTGTGGGAATTGTCTCAGCCTTGACCCACCCCCTTTATCTCCTCTACTTCAGAGGTGGGTAGAAGGGGAGCAGAAGGGGCACACTTAGGTCTCCAACAGCTAGCGCGAAGAGGTATTGTGTTACCGCGGCATCGGTATGCTTGCGAAACTACGAGTCCTTATTATGTGTAGGTTTAGTGGGGTTGTGGCTTTATTCAAGGTCATCTGGCAATATGAGAATGTAGTTTTAAAATAAGAACAGATGATTTGATGCAGAATCTGGACCACAGCTGTCAAATGACCACTTTGAGATAATGACCAAGAAAAAGTCCACTTTTTAAGAAGGAATATGCTTATTGGCTGATTAAACAGATGCGCGGGGTAGTTTAAGTTTTTAAGCCGCGGAAAATAGGGCCATTGCAATGAAAATGTTCGACTGTCTACTCCCAGATTGCTCCTGACGTATGAGAAGAAATATAAATAGCAAAGCATTAAATTATTACAATGTATTTCAAAATACACTAATTATGGAAGGTTATTTCAATCCACAAATAGATGAATAATGTTTATGCTTTCTCCGGAAGAGACGTGCTAAACACTTTTGATTGTTTATAAGCGCGCATTATGGGCATTACGCACCATGCATGAGGAATGCATCACGCAATCATCGGTACTCTTCATTGTTAAGGCGCCTATTTATCCCGTGGAAGAGGAACCTGTTGGGACTAAAGCTGGCCTGAATATAAACCGGGTTAAACTCAGTTGCAGAATCGCAGAAGCTTCCTGCCATATTTGTCGCGCTGTGGTAGTAGATCGTACCACAACAGTTTGTTTGATTCAGTTGCTGAATTAATAAAAAATGCACCATGTCTTGCAGTAGTGCTTGACGTGGATTATGTGATAAGTGTGCGATCACACCTAAACCGAAGTTCACATGTTTTGTTTTGGTGAAATTCACAGCATGGAAAGAAGGTATGCGCTCATGATAATTACCTTAACAAACAAAATATTTTCGGTGACTATAGGAAGTTGTCTAATTTTTTCCAAAATCGTTTGATGGCCTTATAGCAATTTGAGTTATTCAGTGTTGGAAAAAAGCCCTTAATTACTTAAATATAAAATCTAGCCTTGAAAATACCTCTTTGTTTTATTAAGAGATTAGACATGAAGTTAGCTTCAGCAGTTCTAGCATGGGCAATCTAAACATTGAATTCCTACAGATAAATATTAAAATTTGAACGATGCTACTTACTGCTGGTAAGTAGCACGATCGCCCTCACCAGGTGATATGATGGATGGATGAGTGATGGTTGCGTTTGCAATGGTGATGAATCGAGGACACATAATGGCACCACTTAGACTGGCTTCCGGACAACGCAGATTGAGAGTAAGTGCCTGGGAATCCAAACACCCATTTTATATATCAATATACAATTTATGAGGATCGAATTTGTATTTGCTTTGCTTTGGACCTGAACGAGAAAATTTGAAACCTTATTTCCTTGGAAAATTAGGGATTCTGTCGATTTAAACTTTCCATATTTTCTTAAAGCAATATTTCTTCTAATATCTATTTTTAGGAAGGAGTTTGTGATTTTCAGCGCCAGGGTCTAAGAGATATTCTCGGAATATAAACAGTGAACTTATGACACAACTCCTTTATTTGTATTCATATGTTCAATTTATGCTGTAACAGTGCAAATAGTTATTGCAAAGTGACAAAAAATAGGTGAAAGTAGTGAAGTAGCAATGGTTTAGGAACACACATAAAGCCACATTGGAACAAGGAACGAATATCACAGATTGGAAAAACTTTTGATTTCGATGCCATAAATGTCTCTTACTATCCCCTTTCCATGGAGCAACTAATTGGCAATGCAATGCAAAGTACCGAACTACGTTATGCAACGAGTGAATTCCATTAAAAGTTCACAACTTGTGGGAACACCTGCTTACGTGCGGAGCAGTTGAGTGCCAAGGAATTCAAGTATACAATAAGATCGAACAATTTTACTTTGATTCAATTGCATAACCTTATAAATGCACTTGGTGAAATCATCGGTAATTCACTTAGTTACGGTTAGCTGGGCAGAAAACAAACTGGCTGGCCTCCTCAGTATCAAAAAACTACCAAGTTTTTGATATCTGAATAGTATATGTTCTTAAAACACAGTATCATAATCAAAGAAGATGAACCGATATTTTCCACGAAGGTATGAGTGGTACCAATAGATCTAGAAATTCTTTATCTTGGTATTAGAGTCCACGCTAGAAAAACCATAGCAAAATAATCGGTCCTGTGCTTTTTACTGATAAAAAGTCGTTTTGCATTAGTCTACATTTGACCTGCACATGAGTTCTACTCAAGATCGGCCCCTTTGTATTTCAAGGAGGCAGAGTTAGGCTCGACCTTCAAGTAAACCCAGTTATCGATTTTTCTAGGGTCAAATCAGAAAATCGTGGAATGCCACTTAAGGTCTTCATGGAGGAGAAATCAAAGTCGTTGCTGAAGGTGATTTTATTTTTGTTATGAAGACTGTAAGAAGTGCCTGGAATGCATAAACAGTAATTGGCCCAATTGGACGTCCACTCGATGGCACGTGCACGCACTCACGCACACATGGATGTGTATGTGTGACCTGCACCGACCCCACTATCGGACACGGAGGGAAGGGAGAGGGTGTGGAGGTGGTGCGCTAGGTCAGTGTGACCTGGATCTCGACCTCTCAGTGATTAGTCAGCTTACGTGCACACCAGCGCACCAGCATGTTAGTCAAGGTACCCCCAGTGTCTTTTCCGGTTGAAGGTAAAGAGAATCCGACTTAATAATAAAATAAAATGAATCCTCAAAGTTGTCTACTTATTTTACGTATTTTGTAGAGATTTTTCAAGTTAACTCAAGCATTATTGGTAATCTCCGTCAGAGCTATGGTGGTGGTTCATTTGCTTTCCTTGAGGCATTCTGCAACCACGTAAGTAATGCTGTATCCCAAAAAGCAGCTTTCACTGCATGAATTGCTATTATCATATTGTTTCTGCAGGATTAGTAACATGTGTTTCATGCGGTTGGTGCATTTCATCGTTGTATTAGTTATAGATAATAAATAGAAAAAAATGAGGAAGTATGGAACAAAAACGATATATCCAGTGAAGAATATACATTAAGCGCTATGAGTTCCACCATTCACTTCATACTTAAGGCATGAAAAAGATAGAACACGTATGTCAAGTGACACTCTTAGATTGTCTTCACTTATCTTGGCAGAAGTATTCACCGTGACTTAGGAATTAAAATACGATCAGATGTATCTTTCGATTAATCTAAGGGTGGCATACAGAAACATGGGAGTTTTTGAAGAAGCAAAAGCTCTAAGGATTTTAACCTGTCATAAGGAACACTTTTACACTAGATTTTGGCAAAAGCAAGCCTGAATCTATAAGCTTTTTGATAATAAGTTTTTATTAAGCGCATTGAAACACTTTATTGACCCCTTCTCGACGAGACGAAAGCTTACTACGGATTTTACTATAATATAGCATACTCCTACAATTTCTACCCATTCTATTCCACCTTCATTTTTACACTGTCAACTCCATTTTGCGTACGATCATGTGATTTTCTAATGCTGATGGCAAGAGAAGGTGTTAATTACCATATGAGGAAATATCAGCAGCGGTATGAGGAACTAGGCATTTTGTTATTTGGGGCTTTATATTGTCTGCTTGAATAATTATGGCTTCTACCCATAAGGGATACTTCCTGCATTTTTTATACTGTGTATTGAGAAGTTTGGCTTCGGCAAATGAGCAATTTCCCTTTAACCACCCCATCATCAGCCCACCACAAACATAAACGCAAAAACCAAAGCAAAGGAAAACGCACTCTGAAATCGGGCATAGTCTTCTAAAAATGGTAGTGAAGCATGTCCCATTGAAGTGTGCAATGAGTACTGGGCAGGTCATTTGGACACGGCTAGGGATATGCTTACCCGCTTCATTGCAGTGAGGGCATTTGATTTTGTTTCAATTGAATTTTGTTTACACCCATTGGACCATCATCATTCGCCCTCTTAGCTGCCGAAAACCACTCCACAAATATCGCTATCACCGCACGATCGGTTAGTCATCAAGCTGCAATATCCCCAATTTCGTGCAATTAATGTAAAATTAGAACCACAAAAGCAGGACGAGTCGGACAAAATACTGTTTCTTACTTAATTTCTTATGCTGCCCTCATTTGTATTCTGTTCTTGTTGTGCGTTTAACCCAATGTTACGAAATCGCTGATGCTGAGTTAGCTTTGGAAGTAGCAGCAATGAAACTGCACCCTTCAAGAGGATCAAACTTAGCTTCACCATTGCCTGTTCTTTTTTTCATAATTTTGATCAATCACTCACTGTTAATAAGCATACGAATCTATAAATAATTTTTCACTCACCTATGAAATCCAGCGGCTCAGGATAACAGCTTAGTCAAAATAGCTTAAACGGCCAAAGAGAACAGAACACTTAGGTAGCAAAGCTATTTAGCGCTTTACCTCAACTTCCAGAGTACAGACTTGCCCAGGATTATTGAAACAAATAGCAAGTGGTGGGCGAATTACTAACGCTTGTAGGACTGGGCATCAACAGCGGCAGCCGTTTTGTCCATCCACTTTAAGCGCCTGACGAGTTTAAAATACGGCCTCCAGCAGCAGTTCAATTAGAAATAGCGTTTATTTGATTTTTAATTGCTCTAATGATGTAGCAGTAACATGGAACGGAACAAAGAACTTACAATTTGGATATCAATTAATTCCGAAAGAACAGCATTAGCTAAAATATGACTGTGATAAGAAATAAAGTTAACAGGCGAAGTAAAAAGGAGAAAGAGAAGAACAAAATGGCACAAGAGAAGCGCCAGTTACTGTTAGTGATTTACCAATGGGGTACATAGTCATCAGCTTAAAAACCTTATAGTAGGACGTCAAAAAAGTTCTGTGAGTTATAATTGTCTCGTTCGATTCTCGACCACACAAGCCTCTTCAACATGTTGCGACTCGGCCGTGGGTCCTCATTATGCAATCAAATTTGCAGTTGAGTCGCACTTTTACAGACCCAGTGATAGCATTGGAAAAGTGGAGATATTTGCCAATTGTACACAGGAGTGGCGATCTAAGCTACCCTGATCAAGGTCTGGCCACTGTCTAGCCAATCACGTACCTGTCCATAGGCTCCATGTCACGGGGTTGACGTAGAAAAAACTTCAAGCAGACTGCGCCTTCGCTAAGAATTTTTCACTTCTTTTTAGTTGGGCTATGTAAAGATACAACGACTGGTCTTTTTATCGCAGACATTTACGCTGCTGATTTGAAGCTCTTCTCCTGTCATCTATAGTTGCAAACTTTTAGCCCTTCTGATTTCCATTTGTTTCGCTTTCAAAATTAACAAATCAAAACAAAATCTAGTGATTATGTTTGTTTACTGTGATTTAAAATTCCAAAAAACTAAAAGTAATTTGTTCTAATGGCAGGATTGATTGACACAAATACAGTTGCTAAAGGACTGATCGATGTGTGTGATGCGCCATGCTGTCGTCATACGCGTAGGAACATTCTCAAAAGCGAAGGTGTTTCAACCACTATCTTTCCAACGCAGATTTGCGGTGAGAACAGAAGTATCAGCATGACTTGGTAACTAGTCATCATGAATGCACAACAACTGAGCTATTTAAATCAGCCCTTCACTATCGACGTGCAATCACAAGACACACACTTTGCCGCCACCAGGCATAATTTAAAATCTAGATTGTTGGCAGCGCAGCAAATCCATTGCTAGGGGGCAAAAATCCTGATTTCGCCGATTAGGTGCCAGTCAGAAACGTCACGAGCGAAGGCATTTGAAGTATTTGACTCAGTATATGGCGACATTGAATAGAGGAACCATAAAAGCAACAATTAATTTTGGCGGCTAACGAATGCAGCGTTTCTATGAGGAATGTGATATTGATATTGCTCAGTGGCGATTTATAGACACAAAGTCCTTAATGTTGCTTTTAGACGAATGTTTACACAAAAACAGACCGGCACACACTACTAAAAGATCATCCATTCTTCCCCGATGTTTTAGTTGACTTTTCACCTGTGCCTTTGCTTCCAGACCCATGGATAGGGAAGACTTGCTCTGTAAAGGCATCTTCTATAGTTTAATATGGAGAATCACACGTTATCCATATTTTATAGAGAGATTCGCGATTATCTCCTCAACAAAATTCAGTGAAGTCCGTTCATCCTCAAGGTTGGCGTAAGCTGGCCTCTAGACACCCAGAAGATACACGCTAAGAAGTATGCATTACGCTTCTATACTATATATACCATAAATCCCTATTTAATACACTTCAATCAGCAGGCAGCTCCATGCTAATATAGTAATTACACTAAAATTTGATGATTTGCTAGGCATTTTCGCATTAAAAAGATTAACTTTTCACAGTCGTTAATGGTTCGCGATTGGTCTAAATTCACTGAAAAAGGTGAAATATTGAGAACGAAGACCTAATTAAAATAGATGGCTATGTACTATGGTTAGGTATAAAACGAACTGGACTAAAGTGGAGCAGCACTTGCTAAACTCATCCTTAACTAGGTAAATTCACCAGTCCTCACGGAATGTACTACTGTATCGTTTTCATGTAGCAAGCCTCCTGACTTTTTAATATTGGTACGGTTTATAGCCTCAGGATGCTACGTTGGTGGTAACAGTAAGCCAGCTTAATCCATGCAAAGAACAATCCTCATTTTATTGAATGATTATTAAATCTAAGTCTGCAGACTGAAGGCGTCTGCAGTGAATGCCTGAAGATAAGGAGATTTAATACAAAAGAGTTACAACGCATTCATCTTGCAATCAAACCAATAATTTCAAGTTATAATGATCAGATTTCAGCGAATTTCAACTGATTCTAGGGAGAAGTTGTGTGTCTTTTCATGGTGAGAGTACACGAGTACTTCATTTTCCATGTTCCTCAATGCAGATGGTACAATAAACGCGATTAACTTACAGAATATGCTTGCTAAGGGACGCCATCCATCCTCAGCCCCATGTCGCACATGAATTAGCCTTTGATTCACTGCGCCTGCACCTAATCTACAGGATTAGTTCGAAGATGCAAAGCCGTCACAGCATCTTGGAACCTATCTAATGGTTATTTAAGAGTTCCCAAATAAAATCGCTGCTATAGAAGTGGAAGAATGACTTTAAGAAGCTCTGAAAATGTATCTCCTGGTGCCCGTTGTGCATGCTATCATTTTGACCTTTCGACTTTGGAGCCTCGTGGCCCTTTGTTTTTAGTACACCTTTTTACGTCTTCGGATTAGGCGTCACAGAACATTTCAGTCTCCGGTAATTTTATGAATTTAGATTTGTACACCTCTAATCCTTAAAAGATTTTTGTTTTAAAGCTCTACCATTTTCTAAGATTACTCTTTTCTTAAACGTTGTAGAACATTAAAAAGCAAGCACTCTTGTTGGGTTTCCTCCTCCCTGATGAAGCAATAACAATGCAGACGCACTTTTATGTGCTCATATCTGCACTAAGACCATTCAAAATAGAACCAAAAAACTCACGACACATTGCTCCAGCTAACAGATGCATCTGCGAATACCGTGTCCTCGTTTTGGCAAAATCTTATGTGTTGGCTACACTGGCTGAGATCGCAAAAGGGTCCTTGGTCGCACTAGCAAACGCTAGTTCATAACAATATCTATATCGTCTTTTTGGGTAATCGTCCAATACTAACATCTTTCGAATTTTAAAAAACACCTCAATATATAAAGTCTATTTTGAAAAAAATATTCAGTTTATATAAAAATAATCTTGAACCTAATGGGAAGAAATGTCAAGATGGTAAATAAAGTGGAAACATCAGTATTACCCACTGTGACTGACATCAACTAGCCAAATTAGATGAAATAGAAGTGCTATCTGTTATCAAGTACAGGTATGCTGTCAGATCGTGTTAAATGAGAAAAGAACAGACATTCGTATGAGAGGCGTAACTGCAGAGTAAAAGAAAGGAACTTCGCAATTTTCCAAGTGGTGATTGGTTAAAGCTCAAGTACGATGAAAAGATGTGATCGCACATGTGTGATTGTTAGATGGATTTGTAACTTCTGCGGAACAGTAACTCGTGGTAAGTTGAAAACAAGTTTGTTTAAAGTTTTCTTTTCTGGCACCTATTCATGTCTGTTATTACGATGCATATATAAAGAGTAATTCGAAATGGCAGGATTAAGGTAAAACCACCCAAAGACCAAACTAATACTCAATTTTGGAGCCTGAGATTAAAATATAAGTACCACACTAATCATTAAAACAATAATATGCATGTCAAAGGCTAAATTTTACTTCTTTGATTTGTAGTGAATTGACATTTTGGCTCACTGTTTGGCGAACTACGCCAAACTAAATGCGTAAGTAGCATGCTCCTCCATACTACTTTGGTTAATTAAAACTTCAAAAATATACGAAGAGCTACACGTTAAGGAAGAGATTTTAGTGAGGACAGTTCATTTGTTATGCTAAAAAAAGAAACAACATATCCTCATGCAATGCTTCAAGCAGCGTAGCTGCTAGTGGAAATACGACAAATGACCAAGAAATGATGAGTTT